TATCTACTAACTAGAATAATAATGCCATCTCTAGAAGTCATTTTCAGCATAAATCCTTCCTCAATAACTACACAAAGTCTAGATTGAGACACCTCAAACATTACTATCTTATAATTCAAGTTCTAGTCTGTGTCTATGGTGTTTGTCTGCAGACCTTCCCCTAACATCACTGCTTCCCTTGAATCTTGGCTCCCATTAATAAATGCCATCTGATCTGCTCACCTAGAAATAATACCCAAGGGGGGGTGGAGAATATTAATTTTACTCATCAATTTCAAAATACATTGTGATTGTAAAACAAATTAAAAAAACTCCTACCAAAATAAAATACATTCATTTATTAAGATCAAAGTAAACATTAAAAAATGAAAACATGGAAAAATAGTATTCATCATATTGCATATTTCCAAGACATTAACACAGGCAGGGTTAACATTTTAGTATTTGCTCTCTATATTAGGGCCTCTTTCACAATCAGAATTTCAATGTGACTAGGAGAATTACCTCTAGGTATGATACTTGCCTAAGGAAGGTACTTAAAATGTACTTGCTAAATATGTTAAACAAACATCTAATTGTGATTATATAAAGTGAGACTGTCTCTCTCTCAGAAAAAAATAGGATTTAACAAGATGCCTAATTTTGTTCTGCTTATAGTTCATAATTTCCACTAGAAACTTCAAATCCATCAATGCTAATCAGGGACTTCCCTCACCAAACACTTGGTTGTCCTTCAGGTAGATACATTCTTTCCCCGAACCCCAGCTTCTCTGAGATACAATTGACAAACAAAAAATATACAATTAACGTATATAGCTTTCTGTTTTAATACATGTATACATTGTGAAATAATCACCAGAAACTAACAAATGATGCATTATCTGACTTAATGACTTTTTATTTTGAGGTGAGAATATTTGAGGCCATTCCACTTCTCAGATTCTAAGTATACAGTACTGTGGTCTTGTTGACCATGATCACAGGCTGTACATTACATTTCCATGTGTTCATCTTGCACTGCTAAAAATTTGTACACATTGACTAGTATCTCCCCATCCACACCCCCAGGCCCTGGCAACCAACATTTACACTCTGCTTCTAAAGACTCTGTGTTTGGATGCCACACAACACAGGCTATCCACCACAACTTGCCCCAGCCTCCTGAGTAGCTAGGACTATCCACCACACCTGTGTTGATTTATTCTTGGTTAAATCTTGGTACACTGTATGTGCCCAAGAATTTATCCATTTCTGTGGGTTTTAAAATTAATTATCTTACAGTTGTTCATATTAGTCCCTAATGATCCTTTATATTTCTGGGGCATTCATCCTTTTTCATCTCCTTTTTCATTTTTGATTTTTTTAATTTCAGTCTTCTTTTTGTTTTCCTTTGGTGGTCTAGCTAATGGTTTGTTGATGTTGTTTATCTCTTCATAAAATCAACTTTTGGCATTGATCTTTCATATTGGTTTTTTAGGCTGAAATGAATGGATTCATTTCTCTTCTGATTTTTGTTATGTCTTTCTTGCTGATAACTTTGGCACTTGTTCTTATTTTATCTAGTGCCTGAGATACATCATTAGGTTACTTAAAATCTTTCTAGTTTTTTGATATACTCATTGGTTGCTATAAACTTGCCTCTTAATACTGCTTTTGATGTGTTCCATACACCGATACTGTGTTTTCATTTCAAGGAATTTTTACATTTCATTCTTAATTTCTTCCTTTACCCATTAGTCATTTAGGAGCATGCTGCTTTGTTTCAAATATGTGCATAATTTTAAATGTTCCCCTTATTATTAACTTGTAGTTTTAGTCTGCTCTGGTCAGGTAAGATGTCCAGTATGATTTGATTTGGGGGGAATTTTTAAATTTTTTCTTTTTAGAGAGAGAGTCTCACTCTGGCACCCTGGGTAGGGTGCCATGGCATCTTCATAGGATCATTCTTGAGCTCAAGAGATCCTCTTGCCTCAGCCTCCCGAGTAGCTGGGACTATCTACCACACCTTGCTAGTTTTTGCCATTTTTATAGAGATGGGGTTCTCACTCTTGCTCAGGCTAGTCTCAAACTCCTGAGCTTAAGCAATCCACCTGCCTAGGCCTTCCAGAGTGCTAGGATCATATGCATGAGCCACCAAGCCTGGCCTTTTTTAATTGTTTAAAACTTATTTTCTGTTCTAACATGTGGTCAATCCTGAAGAATGTTTCATTCACCGATGAAAAGACTGTGTACTCTGTACCCATTGGGTCAGATGTTCTATAAATGTCTATTAGGCCCATTTGATCTATGACATGGTTTAAATCCAAGGTTTCACTGTTGATTATCTGTCAGGGGTCCTCAAATTTTTAAACAGGGGGCCAGTTCACTGTCCCTTGGACTGTTGGAGGGCCGGACTGCAGGCCCTGGGACCACTCGGCTGCTAAGCAGGACAGGCAGCAGCTGACAAAACACCCGGCGAGCTGGATAAATGTCCTAGGCAGGCTGCATGTGGCCTGCAGGCCATAGTTTGAGGATGTCTGGTGATCTGTCCAATGTTGAAAGTGGGCTGTTGAAGTCCTTGAATTATTGTATTGAGGCCTACCTCTCTCTTCAGATTTCACATTTTCCTTCTATAAATGGCACAGCAGCAGAAAATGAGCACGCATGCTCTCTGGAGGTGCTCAGCCTGCTGGGAGCTGTAGTTTTATAGCTTTTGCAGCCAAAAGTACAGGTGACCATTGGGCAAGCCACATGGGGGTAGAAACAAGGTACTAAAGCTGGGATCTTCCAGCTGATTGGATCTTCACCATAGCAAGGATGAAGTATGGTAAAGCCCATTCTTTTATCTTTTTAACTCAGAGTTCACTTTGCTCCAGGCACTATGTTAGGCATTGGGATACATAAAAAACAAAGTAAAGCTTATAGTCTAGTGGGTAGAGATGGACAGTAAATAATGGTGAACACAGGTATAAACTGAAATAAAATCTTAAAGCTCTCTCTAAGCAACTGACTTACTGGATTCCCTCTTGGCCAAGAGGATCCCTAAAACTGAGCTGTTAGCTAAGTAAGAGAAAGAAGATCAGACATGCCTCATTATCCACCCTCTCTACTTGGAGATGTCCTCTAGTGACTCATTAACAGGCCTAAGGCCATGCAAGAGCTACCTGCAGGTCTTTGAGATACACAACAAACAACTAAGTCTGTCTGTACTTTGTCTCTAATTAACAGACCCTTTATCTTAAGCATCCCTTTTCACTGATTCCTGGTCTTTTAGGCAAAGCCTACCTCTTTCAGCCAATTTTCAGCTAAAGAATCTTTAAACCCACCTTTAACCTATAAGCTCCCCACTTCCAAATGTCCCACCTTTGGAGGCCAAACCAAAGTATGTTTTCCATGTATTGATTTATAACTTCACCTGTAATTCCAGCCTCCCTAAAATGTATAAAACCGAACTGTATCCTCACCACCGTGAGTCTACTTGCTCAAGACTTCTTTTTTTTGAGACAGAGTGACTTTGTTGCCCCCAGTAGAGTGCTGTGTTGTCATAGCCCACAGCAACCTCAGACTCTTGGGTTTAAGTGATTCTCTTGCCTCAGCCTCCAGAGCAGCTGTGACTACCAGGTGCCCGTTACAATGCCCAACTATTTTTAGAGACGGGGTCTCTCTCTAGCTCAGGCTAGTCTCAAACTCATGAGTTCAGGCAATCCACCCACCTCGACCCCCCCAGATGCTCAAGACTTCGTCAGTGTGGCTCTCCCTGGTCATGGCCCTCAAATTTGGCTCAGAATAAACCTCCTTAAATTATTTACAGGGTATGGCTTCTTTTCCATTGTCACAGGTCACTGGAGAAAACAGTATGTTAATAAGTAATTGAGATGCTGTATGCAGACAATGTTAGAACACTGGCACACACTCTACTTCATTTATCCTCATAAAGCTCTATGTGCTATTATTACACCCAAACTGTAACATAATTAAGCAACTGAAGAACATACAGCAAAGTCATAGCAGAGCTGGGGTTTGAAGCTAGGCAGTCTGGGTTCATATTTGACAAGCACAATACTAAGTCTCAATACTAAAGTCTCAAACTGCTGTCCTCAAGCAGTCTTCCTGTCTTGGCCTCCCAGAGTGCTGGGATTTGAGGTATGAGCCAGCCAAAGGTATCTTTTACTTAAAAGCAGACTCCAGAGACTCAACTAAGCCAAGCAAAGATCCAGACTTTCTTCATCTATCAGCTGTCTTCCTCAGTGTGGGTTCCCTTCTTACACAATGCCAAGGTTGTCCCTAGCAGGTTCATGCCTAACCATCTCATTCTTGGTTCTTTTAAGAGAAAACCTTTGTTAGAATCCTCCGACCCCTACCTCAGCAGACTTAATGGCCAGAACTAGATGACATGTTCATGCTTAAGCCAAGCACCAGAAAGGATGATATGCCTGAAGGTAGAACTAATGGATGTTAGGTTGCCACCCTGGCACATTGGTCCAGATGAGAATGAAGCCTGAACTATGATGAATTCATTGTGGCTCCTCCAAACATCTTCTCCAGAAGGCTTTGGTGAACGAAGGAATGCTGGACCATTTCAACCTTGCTCTAGATCTAGGCCTCCCACTCTCCCCTAGAAGCCAAGAACTCAGCATGGAAACCAAAATAATACTGTTTTATTCCAGTCTTGAAGCATGATAGTCCAAACAGTTCCCCCTCCCCGCCCCAGACTCCCAGTGCTTCCTCCTGCTATCTCCCAGGAACAGCCGACCAGAAGAAGAAGGGGTTCCAAGTCCCCAGGTCTTGGAAAAATACCAAAATCACTCCCTTATCCTCCCTCCCATCTTCTATACCTTTCCTTCCTCTTATCTCTTTTTTCTTCCCCATGCCTCCTCCATCCTTGTTCCCTTCTCCCCTCCCTCTCACCTCTCCTGCCTCCCTCTGCTTCTCCTCACCTCCCTCTTCTCTTGTCCTCTCTCCTCCACTTCTGCCCACCCTTCTTTCTCCCCTTACCCCTCCATCTGCCTTCTCATACCACACTTTCTCCTGTTGTCCAGCACCCCCCCACCCCCTTTTCCTTCGTTCTGCATTAGCCTGACCCTGTCTACACCTCTCAGATACATTTCCTCTCCTGAGGGAAGCCCTCAGAATCCACCCTGGTCATCAACACCTCCCCCACCTATGTCAGCTTCCCTTTGGATCCAGAGAGGCAAACTGCCAAGATGAGGTTCCTGGATGACCCAAGAGGTGGCCAGAGGGACTGGGCTGGTCTCCTGGGCCTCAGCCCTGTTATCTTTGGGATAGAAGAAAGCCCTCCTGCACTCACAGTGGAGTGAGGTAGTCAGGGACCCAAAGGGTCAGGGCTCTGGGGCTCTCCCCCAGCAATCCCTGAGGAGGTCCACATGGAATAAGGCTGCGCCAGTGAGGAGGCGTGCTGCAAAGAGGTGTCGGCAGGGCAGACGTCGCGCTGCATGGATTGAGCAGGTGCAGCGCGTCAGGGCCCCATCCAGATAGAAGTCTGAGGTGCCATCTTTAAGGGCAAAGCCAGCTCCAGTCCAGTGGAAACCCCGGGTCCCATGCTGCCTGGCAAAGGTGAGCTCCTCAGCTACTAGGTCTGCCAGCTCTGGTCCACAGGCTGCTCGGAATTTGGCCAGGGGCTCCCAATCCACCTCCTCCTCTCCTGAGGCCTGGCAGAGAGTCTTTGGTTCCCTTGAGCCTTCTCCTTCGCCTCCTTCCTGCAGGTTCTCACCTGCAGAACTCCTTGTCACTGCCCATTCTGGATGGCCTTCACATACAGTCCCCATGTAAGCACCACAAACAGCTCCATTCCCTAGCCCCAGACACCTCCCTCCTTTATCTTCCCACTCCATCCCTTTTCCTGCCCTGCTCTTGGCACTCAAATACTGGGCTCTTCCTCCATCCCCATTCTCCACACCTGTAACCCTTGTGTCCTCCAGCTGGACCAAAACTATGTCCTCGAAGCCCCTTCTTTTGACCCCCAATCTCACCCCCCTCTCATCTGCAATATCTGGCCCTCTCTTCTTTTCATCTCCCCACTGGGGCCCCCTTTGCTCTCCGTTCTCAGGGGCCAACTCCAGGGCCAGGGGCTTCTCCAAGTGGGTCCCCCTCCAGTTTCTGACTCCCAGCCCCCTACCTTTCTCTGCCTCCATCTGGGGCCCTTTCCACTCTCTGGTTTTCAAGTCACTTGCCCTTTCATTATGCAGCTGGGCCCTTCTCCAGGAGCTTCCTTCAAGACCCCTAACCCTCTCATACTCAAACTGGGTCCCCTTGTGATCTGGGATCTCCAATAGCCTACTCCTTCGATCCTGCAACTGGGCCGTCCTCCAGGTAAACCCTTCCAATCCTTTTAGGCCCTGCTCCTCCTCCTGGTCCCCCCTCCAGTCTCTGATCTCTGGCCCTTTCAAGTGCTCTTTCTCCAACTGGGACGCTCTCCAGACACTCCCTTCTAGCCCCTTCACCTTCCGGTTCTCCAACTGGACTCCTCTCCAATCTCTGATCTGTAGCCCCCTCCCCTTCTCGCTTTCTAACTGAGTCCCGCCCCTCTCTGTGATCTCGAGTCCTCTTGCCCTCTCTTTCTCCATCTGTGGCCCTCTCCAAATACTTCCTTCTTTCAGAGCCCTTCCCAGCTCCCCGGTCTCCAAGTTCCTCACTTTTTCATTTTCCACCTGGACCCCTGTCCCTGCTTCACCCTCCAGCCACTCCCCACCTCCGTCAGGACCCTCGGGCGCTGCCTCCCCAGCCGCATCAGCCCACTGCATGGCCACCAGGTCGCGAAGGCACTGAGCCACGCTGAGCGAGGGGCTAAGGCGACGCAACAGTCGGCGGCGGTGACTGCGGACCAGGGCGCACGCGTCCAGGTCCCGGGTTGCCTCGAAGGCGCAGAAGCGCACCCACATGTCCCGGCGGGGCTCCCAGTTACGCTCGAAGTAGTCGACGAAGGCGGCTGGGCTGTGGGCATACAGCTCCGTCAGGGCCTCGTCGTAGGCGGCGGGCGATGATGCCCCAGCCAGGCGGCACAGGCGCGGCCATAGGCCGGGGTCCTCGCAGCCGGCGCCACCCAGTTCCTGTGCCTTGCTGAACAACGTCTCGAGGCCCTGTGCTCGGCAGATCTGCACACGCGCGCAGGGCAACAGCTGGCGCAGGGCGGGCAGCTGGGCTGCCACCTCAGGCCCAGCTGTGAGGCAGCGCACGCGGCCCTTGACGTCAGGAGCGCTTTGCAACAGCGAAGCGAGCGCGAAGCGCAGCAAGCTTGGCGTGCCTGGGCGCGCCACGCAGCAGGCAGCCTGGCGAGCGCGCCCTGCGCCATCTACGCACAGCACGGCCACCAAGTCCAGCGCGCCCTGCAGCCCTGGCAGGCGGTCCACCAGGAGAATGCGCGGGAAGCGCCGCAGTAGCGCCCTGGTGCGCGACGTAAGGAAGAACACGGTCTCCACCACTGCCTGGTCTTCCACGAATACCAGCTTCACCTGTGAGAGGGGCGGGGAAGTAGGTCAGAGACCACCGGCTGGCCCCAGCCCAGCTCACTGCTCACTTACCCCCACCCTGTCCCCTTTTCAGGGAAAAGGGAACCCATTCATTTTTAGTACATACCCACTTGGTCAGCAAGAGGCAGTGCAGGGGGAGGGGAGAAATACGGACTCAGGACCCCGGTTGCCTGCATTTGAGATGCAGGCACCACTATAATAGCGATATGTTTTTTTGCACAGACGCTTTTAGCCTCTCTGAGCCTCCGTTCCCCCCCCCCCCGGGGAAACTGTTTATTCATTCCTTCCTGCGCTGAGAGGCAATCTAGGGTAGTGGTTCTCAAAATACAGGCCGTGGCCCAGCAGCACCAGGAGTTGCTGGGACTTTGTCAGAAGTTCAGCCTGGTTCAGTCAGAAGTTCTCCGGTTCAGTCTGGACTCAACTGAGTCTGAAACTCGAGGTAGGTCCCAGCAATCTGTGCTTTGCCAAGCCCTCCAGGGGATCTCCCTGCATGCTCCAATTTAAGGACCCTGGTAGTGGGAGTAAGCACAGACTGTGGAGGCAAATCCCCTAGTTGGAGTCCCACCCCTACCACTTCCTAACCGTGTGATTTAACCTGTCTGTGCCTCAGTATTCCCCTTAACCTCCATATTCCCTGAATCCCCTTTCTAGGAAGTGAATTCATTCCTTCATGCATCCTGAGGCAGGGCAGTAGTCAAAAGCATGGTCTCCGGGACCAGACTGCTTGGGTTGGGATCCTGGACCCCTGCTTCTTGTCTGTGTGGTTTTTGGCACTTTCCCTAAGCTCCATTTCATTTGGAGCTTGGAGTAAAATATTAATAAAGTACCTCTGTGATTGGAAGGACGAAATGCATTACAACATTTAGAACACTGCCTGGCACACCTACCATCACTATTATGTCTCATTTAACAAATAGAAAGCGCTCGCAAAGTGGTCATTATTACCGTAATTATCATCTCTGCCCAAACACCAGCTTCTCATAAAGGTCTCCTTTGATAATCCCAACAAAGACCTCATTTCTATCTGGTCCCTTGTGGCCCCAGCACTTACCATCCTCTAGGATATCATATCTTAATTTGCTGATTTAATCACTCTCTGTGTGACCTCCCTAAGATGTAAGCCCCACAAGGACAAGGATGTTCTCTTTGGCTTTTCCTGATACTTTGAAGGGTACCTGACCTAGAACAATAGCTCAATACATCCTAAATGAGTGAACTAATGTGAGGGTGTGTGGGGATATACAATAGCCACTTCTTTAGAGTGGAGGTTCAAGAACAGATTCCTGGATTTTCCTCTTATTGGCTGTGGGACTTTGGGCAAGTGACTTCCTCTCAATGAGCCTCAGTTTCCTTATCTGGTGAAATGGGAATGCCTATTTAACAGGGTCATGAAGGGGCTAAAATAAGAACATTTGTGACCTATGCTTCCAACAATGTTTGGCACATTTCAAATCCCAGCTATTATTACTCTTACTTGACCTCTCAGCCAGATTCAGCACAGTGATCCTGCCCCTCTTCCTGGAACACAGGTCTCTCTTGGCCTCTGTTGCTCCTCTTGGCTCCATTGCTCCCCTCTAAATAGAGCCCAGTCCTCAGCATTCTCCTCTCCCCGCTTCCCTATCTCAATGCTCTCCCAAAGTGATCTCTTCCAGTCACATGGCTTTTATTATTTCCAAGCTGAGAACTCCTAGGTCAGTACCTCAAAGCTCCAGACCCACCTAATCAACTGCCACTGCAGTAATCTAGCTTCTTGGACAGCTCATACACCCCTTGAGACTAACAGTCCAAAGTCACATTGATTCTCACAAGCCCACGCCCTCAACCTGTTCCTCCTTGGATGGCCCCATTATAGTCAACCACTCCACCATCTACTCCATAACTCAGGCCCTAGCACTCAGGGTTGATGCTCACTCCCTGCATTTAATCCAACCCCAAGCCTAGAAACATCCCTCAGCTGTTCCAGAATCTGACCACTTCTCCCCACCCTCTGGGTTACACCCTGGTTGGAGGCACCAACATCTCCCACTTGGATGTCTGTAGCTGCCTCCTCAGTAGGCTTCCTAGTCCTGCCCTCGCTCCCTTGTCTGTCTCCCATATGGCTGCTAGAGGGGCATTTTTAAAACTCCGATCAGATTGGTCCTCCTCTGCTAGAAAACCCTTCCCAGGACTTCCCATCACGCTGGAGTAAAATCAAAAGGCACTCAGGCCCTTTGACCTCATTTTCTGTTTCTCAGTCACTGTGGCTTCATCATGATTGTGAAACAGCCACTTGACAGAGAGGGGAGATTAGCAGCTATTATCCAGGACCCCTGTCCCCCTGTACTTAGCCAGCTGCTATGGCTTCATCAGCCAGTCCCTTCGAGAGCTAGCTCGCAGCTGCAGAAGCAGGATTTGATCCAGTTTAACTACAGATCTCTCCACAAATCATTCTGCCATAATCCAACATCATCCTATAAGACCATTTGAAAAGGAGTGCATAGTACTCAGATTGAAAAAAAAAAAATTCCATCTAGATCATTATAAAAACCTCTATTTTAAAAAGAGTCTAACAGAGACCAGAAGTCCAAAGAGAGTAAGGAAATTGCTTTCCTAAGCCTGAAATCATATATCTAGCACCTCAAATAGTATTGTAATTCAATACATTTTACAAAAAGCCTAGTAAGCTTACCACTGAATTAGTTCCAACACTGCTATAATTTTTTTCAACCATCATTGATTTTGATGCTACTACTTTATGATTTAATTTCTCTCAGATGTTCAATCTAGACCTGCTCTGTCCAATATGGTAGCTACTAGTTACATGTAGCTGTTTACATTTAATTAAAATTTAAAATTTATAAAAATGGAGTTCCTTGTCACACTAACAATATTTCAAGTGCTCAGTAGACACGTGAGGCCAGTGGCTACCCTACAGTATAGCACGGTTCTGGAACCTTCCCATCATTATAGAAAGTTCTAATAGACAGCACTGGTCTAGAAATTAAATACAAATGTCAGATAAGATGAGCTTTTTTTAAAAGTATATATTTCTATAGAATTAGGTAAATTTGTATTTTTCTCCTTGGGAGTCAGGATAAGAGAAAAGTGAAGACAACAAAACATTATTTGACTTGAGATTGCTCCAAAACTGGCAAGCATTTAATTAATTAGAAGCCAACTTCCATTCTTAAAGAGAAAACACAGATTCCTAATCTTGGTTTATCTTCTGTGGAGATTCAAATTCACATTATTCTTTTGTACTAGCTGTGTTAATTTACACACCAGCTGTGTGAATTAGGGGAATTGTGTAAACTTCTCTGTGCCTTAGTTCCCATCTGCAAAGGTGGGGAGCATAATTGCATCTATCTGGTAAAGCTGTTATAAGGATTAAATTAGTTAATCCACACAAGGCATGTAAAACAATGCCTGGCATGAGGTCAGCACTCTGAGTTAGCCAGACTTGTTATTACTATTACCTGAGCCTGGATGCATACTCAAGAGAAAGGCTGATGGGACTGGGTTCTTCTATTCCAGTGGTTCTCAACCTTCCTAATGCTGTGGCCCTTTAATACAGTTCCTGTGGGTGGCGACCCACAGGTTGAGAAACTCTGTTCTATTCAAATGAAGGTCATTCTTTAGAGGGAAGGATTATCTTCTATATATTGCAAAAATGTAAATTGAGGCTGAAAGGGTTCATATGTACATTAATGGATCAACTTGCAAACCTGGGTTGTCCAAACCCTGCACATTCTAAAGAAAAGTTGGGTCTTGCCCAGTTCCTAGGAAGTACTCTTAACCCTTGTTGTCCTGCCTGTTAACATTGTTCTGTTCACCCATAGCCTTAGGCCACATCAGCTAGTCTATGGCAACAATATGACTTATGATGGGAGCCTTGGGCCACCCAGATAGCCCATGCCAACATTATGATTTACGGTGGGAGCCTTGGGCCAAGCAGTATCAGTTTGACCTTTGAAAGGGCTGAAAACTGAGGTCAGCCATGTCTATGTGACTGACCCACAATGAAAACCTTGAACACCAAGGCTCAAGTGAGCCTCCCTAGTTGGCAATATTCCTTATGTGTTATAACACATCATTGCTGGGAGAATAAAGCACTGTCTGTGAGAGTCCACTGAGAGGACAACTAGAAGCTCACACATGGTCTCTCTTGGACTCCTCCTATGTGCCTTTACCCTTTGCTGATTTTAACCCTGTCCTGTTACAGTTGCTGTAATAAACTGTACCTGTGAATGTTATAATCTTTCTGAATTCTATGAGTCCTTCTAGTGAATCACTGCACCTCGAGGTAGTTTTAGGGACCCCCAATTATGCCAAGGGTGTGACTTGCCCAAGATCATGGAGCTAATTAAGTGGTGGGGCTAGGATTCAAGTCTAAGCTATTAGGAATGGTTGAGGGGAAGCAGGGAGTCAAGGAAGATGTGTGGGTGATACATAAATGGTGTGGTGACATTTGATGAATACATATAAATGAGTATATTTTTCTACCAAATATTTACTGAGCCTGAGTGATATGCTGAGTGATGTTCAGGCATTAAGGAGAGCAAATTAGAGTGGGAGGAGCCAGCCAGCAAACCAAAGATGAACATAAAGGTTTCAGGTGTGAGAGTGCTATAGCCATTAACAATGCAGAAACTAACAGAAGCAGTTTCTCTGAGCCAGGCACAGTTCCAAGCAGCAACCCTTTCAATACTTACAACAGCGCTGTAAGAGAGATACCGTTATTATTATCTCTCTTTGTCAGATGGGAAAACTTAGGCACAGAGCTTCACTTGTTCGCTTGGGGTCACCCAGGTAGTAATTGGCAGAGCTAGGATTTGAACTCATGCAGCTTGGGCCCAAGGTTTGTGTTCCTGACCACTATACCCCCATGGTCTTTGCAAAGTGATCAGACAGGCCTGACTCAGATGCTTCCTGCTTGAGCCACACAGTGGACAGCAGTGCAGACATAGAGAAGCCCAGGGAGGAGAGATTTTAAAGAACAGATAACACTTGAGATGCAAGTTTCATCTCAGACACACCATCAGTGGCACGGGATCTATCTACCACAGATGGCAAAATCCACAAACATTAATGTCAGAAACCACACCACTTACTACTTTCCATCCACACCTTTTTCTATATGTGAATATATCCTTCCTTTATCATGTGATCAGAATTATACTATTCTCTAGGAAGGCTAGAATTGCTGGAGAGGGACCGGAGCTTCATTTTCAAACTGGGCAATAGAATAACAGTGAAGGCCATGGGCCTGGATCAAGACTGTGGGTCTGAACCCCACCTCTGTCAATGAGGAGCTGTGTGATTGAAGGCCAGTTACTTGACCTCTCTGGGCTTCAGTTTCCTTGTTTGTAAAATGAAAACAATGGTTTTCATTACAAAGCTCTCTGGTAAGAATTAAATTACAATATGTAAACCACTTAGTGTAGTGTCTGGCACATAGTAGGTACCGATAAACAGTAGCTAACATCATTAATACTGTGTGTGGACAGAGGCCTGGGCTTGGGTTGGTGGCTTGAATGGGAGCTGGTCACTAGGCACCATATAAACTAGCCAGCCCAAACTAATGGGACTAAACTAATTAGTTTAAGCTAATCAGCCTAAACCAATCACATTAAACTACCCACACTAAACCAATCAATCTAAATCACTCAGACTAAGCTGATCAAACTAAACTATCAGATTGAGCTAATCAGACAATGGGCAGGTGACTTTTAGCTGCCACTATAAGCAGCCCTAAGAACCCATTTCTGTTCCAATAGCCACCCAATTATCATTTGGCAACTAAAAACAAAGAAAGCATTTTGATAACATTTTTGTTTTTTCTTGGAGTAAGAAATTAGGACAAATTCTTAAATGATTCTCAAATTATTCATTTCTTTTACGTCCACCCCAAATCTGAAGTTTGATCAAAGCTGCACAAAGACTCTGGAGCAGCATTCTCATTGTTCCTCCAACACACCAAGCTTACTCCAGGCTCCAGGCCTTTGCACTGGCTGTTACCCTGACTTGGAACTCTCTTCCCTCTAGTGAAAGAATGGGTGTCCCTTCCTTGCATTCTGTCTCCTTTGCTTCACTATGATTTGTCAAAGAGGCCTTTCCTGACCACTCAAAATATCTCTTACAACTGTCCCTCTCCAAGTCTTCACTTTATTCTCCCTGGTTATACTCATCATTCCATTATTCTATCCCATTATATGACATAGCACCTTCTAATTCTTAAATCTGGGTGGTATTTCACATTGTGAACATTCACCAACAATATATTTATCATTTGTGCATTTTCTAATTCTATAATTCAATTAAAAATTTAAATAACGCTTGCTATCATTTAGGCTCCCTCCGAGCACCCAAACCTGGTGACATTTGAATTGTGTTTGTCCATTGGTGGTTGGTTTCTACCACCAGAACTGCAAGTTAGTTCTAGCAAGTAGTTCTGGAAGGTAGGCAATAGCCATAATGGCTATTTAAATTTCACTTAATTAAAATGCAAGCAGCTCCTCAGTCATACTGGCCACTTTTCAAGTGTTCAACAGTCACATGTGGCTGGTTCCATAGTCACATATTCTATCCATACTGAACAGAATCACAGAATATTTCCATCATGGAGGAAAGTTCTATTGGACATCGCTACACTTGAAGGTGAGTTCTCTGAGGGCAGGGACCATACTGTCTTATTCACTGCTGCATCCCTGATGGCTCAGTAGGTACTTATCACACGAATGAATGGATGAATGTAGGGAAGGAGTGAGGGAAGAATGGGAGGATGAATGACCCACAAGGTGTGGCTCTCCCGCGCCCCCATCCTGCCTCTCCCAAAACCCCACCTTGGCTTCAGGGTCCGTACGGAAGAGCCCCTCGAGCACGTGCAGGGCATCCAGGACACCGTGGTCACGGCCCTTGCAGTAGGAGAGCAGGCGGCGCACATCATCCGGGGCCACGAACTGCTTGGAGATCTGGTTGGTGGTACGCACAGGCAGGCAGGAGTTGGCCAGCAGGTGGCCTGGGCGGAAGTAATAGGCGAACTCTAGCGGGCAGGCTGGGTGCGAGTGGGTCAGCTGGCACTCCGTCACTACCAGGCGGTCCCGCAGCGGGCTCAGCTTGACGATGATGAAGGCCGGGCAGCCGCGCTGGGGGGGCCTGCGGGAGGAACGACCATGGCCGTCGTCACATCCCTCTGTTGCCCTTTTCTTTCTTTCCTTTTTCCCTTTTTTAAAAATTAATATTTTTTGAAGCATATACGAGGGCATAGTGCCTTAAGAATGAATCAGCTGTGTGACCTTGGGCAAGTCATTTCAAGTCCCCGTGCCTCAGTTTCCCCACAGGTTAAAGGAAGGTAGCAATCATCAAATCTTCCTCATAGGATTGTTGTGAGGATGAAAAGAGTTGATATACATAAAGCACTTAATAACTGTGTCTGGAACATGATAAGCATTATGTGCTTGCTAAAATTCTATACCTACCATCCTCAGTTCTATCAAAAGTGAATGAATGTTTTATTACATTTACCTTAAAATTTTTTCAGAAATAAAACATTGAGACAGTCCTGTATCTGCTTCTGGTTTAGCAATAACATTGCAAGTTGAGGTCTTCTCTGAACCCTACCCTAACAAATTCTTCTCCTTTAGCCATTACCAAAAATGTGTACTTAGCATGTCTACATACATTTTTATGCACTCATAAGCAAAAGAAGACATATTTCTATGTTTTTAAACTTTGTATATGCAAAGAGGTGCTCAAACTTTGTATGCACTCATAAGCAAAAGAAGACATATTTCCATGTTTTTAAACTTTGTATATGCAAAGAGGTGCTCATTAAGGAAATAACAAATTAAAACCCAAAGGAAGTACCACTGCACACCAGTAGAAAGGCCAAAAAAAAAAAAAAAAAGAGACTAATAGTATCAAGTGTTGATGAGGATGTGGAGCAACTGGAACTCTCACACATCACTGATGGGGGTGTAAAATGATACTACCACCCTGGAAAATTATATGGCAGTATCTACTAAAACTGATCCTATGCCTCTTCTGTGACCCAGTGACTGCCTTATTTAAAGGAATAAAATTAAAGCAAATTTAAAAATATATATATCATTAATAAATAAAATACAATGTACAGCCAGCATGTTGGTATCAGGTGGAAGCCAACTGAATTGCCAACATACAACCATTTGTGATTTACCCAAAATAGAAATTCCATAGGATTCCAACACAGTACATTTTTCAAGAATAATTCATGGGCTGTTGACAAACTCTTGGGTCTAGTCTCTTTCAATCTAGTGTTTCAGTCCCTTGCTCAGAGAGGCTACCTCTTCTGTGAAGCCACCCTCTCTGAGTACCATATTCTCTCCATAGAGCCCGGTATCTCACATAGCCATCTAGTGGTACCTCAACACATCACTTTTGCAATTGTTCTCCACCTATTTGGGAGAATGCCACCTCTTTCTAAAAGCAAACTGCACACACAGGAATTTTTGTCTGTTTTTGTTGGTCTCTGCCTCCCGAGCACCTAGCACCTGGAGGTGCTCAGTAAATACATCATGACTGAATAAATCTCAGTCACCTGGACACACTGACAATCCTGCTCTGCCGTATAGTTTCCATTCCTTCAAAAACATCCATCACCAACTCCTGCACACTATGCCTCCCATTTTCACTGCAGCCAACCTACTATTTCTTTCCTCCTTCATGAAACATTCTTCTTTCTCCCTTCTTTTCACCTAGTCAACAACTACTTATTCTTTAGGCCTCATACCATCATCTCCTCCAGGAATCTTTCTCTGACCATCCTCAGGCTTGGGCACATTCCACCCATCAGACACTAACATGGCAATCTCATTTGTAACCATCTGTCATGTATGCTTCCCACAGAAGCCCCAGCATTTAAAATGTACACTTTGCACATAGTAGGGTCTCAAAACATACCCCTGGATGAATGGACTGATGCCTAGAACACAGAAATTGTAAGTGCTAGCACATAGTAGGGTCTCAAAACATACCCCTGGATGAATGGCTGATGTCTAGAACATAGAAATTTTAAGTGCTAGCACATTTAACTCTCATGCTTATAACCCATGACTAAAATAAAGATGAAAGGAAGGAAAAAAAGAAAGAAGGAAAGATATAAAAAGAGAGGTGATAGAGTGGTAATTAAAGGCATGGGCTTTGTGGTCAGACTGTGGTGGTCCAAATTCCAGTTTTCCCTCTTAGCAGCTGTGGTACTCTGGGAAAGTCCTTTAACCACTCTGTGCCTCAGTTTTCTCATCTGGGAAATAGGGCTAGTTATAAAACTGGCCTCATAGGCTTGTCAGGAGGACTGAAGAGGATTAAACTATACAAAGTGGTTAGAAAAGAGGCTGGTGCATAATAAAACATCAAGAAATGGTAGGTGCTACTTTCAAAATATTTTTTTTTCTTCTACAAGTACCATTGCTTTGCTTTATCTTGCTGCACTGCACTCACCCACATTTATTTTTGATCTTTAAGCCTTTCAATTTGTGCTTTCAAAGGCTGGTGTATGTTGGGAAGCATTGAGCAATTCTGTTCTAGAGAAGGAAGTGCTGAGAGAGGGACAGAGAGGAACTGGAGCTGGATGGCTGACGTTTCACAGACAATAACTTGGAGGGGGTCACTGGGGAACCTCTGGCAAGGAGGAGCCAAAAAGAAAGTCTGCCTGAGTTCCTTGGATCCTCAGCCCCTGCCTCCTCCCTGGCATCCATCTTCAGCCAGACCATCTCCCAATCTCCCACATAGACCCAGAGGGATCTTCCTCCATTCAGAGCTGATCTTTCTCAGAGCCCTCTGGGGTTCCCCAGCACCCCCAAAATAAGGTCCCACCTCCTGGACTCAGCCCTGCCAGGTCCAGGCCTTGATACCATTTCAGTCTTCCTTTTCTTACCTACTAATTTCTTCAGCCTCAGGCTTCAGCCCATGGGCTTTCCCTGGGCTGTGACACTGGAGAGGCTCTACCTTGAGTACCTGGGGGTATGGTAAGCAGCCCAGAAATGAGTCTGCATCATAGTTCCAGAACCAGTTCATCAACCACGTCCCTGCTGCACTCCCCATCCAGGCACCACTTCATCATTTACCTAATCACCATCCCTGAACCTAGGGCACTGTCCTCAACCACTTCACAGCCCTACCTTTCCCACTCCCCTGGTTCTCTATTTGTATAACACTTGGAACAGGTTGGGCACAGTGGCTCATGTAATCCTGGGAGGCTGAGGCAGGTGGATTACTTGAGCTCACGACTTCAAGACCAGTCTGAGCAAGAGCAACACCCCATCTCTAAAAGTAACCAAGCATTGTGGTGGGCACCTGTAGTCCCTGCTACTTGGAAAGCTAAGTCAAGAGGATAGCTTAAGTCCAAGAGTTTGAGATTGCTTTGAGTTATGATGCCATGGCACTTTACTGAAGGCAACAAAGTGAGACTCTGAACACTGGGGACAGTATCTGCACATAGGAAAAACGATGTGTTTTTAAGTCAAATACTGTACATATATAAACATACAAACAAAATCCTTCAAAGTTCTGGTTATTGGTTACCGCCTTCAGGAAGCCTTCCAGAACCACACATTAATCCCTCAGTTGCAGCTGACCATTCAATTTCTGTCCTCCTCCAATCTACTCCCATCAACATCGTTCTCCCTACTGTAGGCTACTATTTGTACTTCTTTTTTTTTATTTTTTTTTATTTTTTGATCTGTCTCCTCCATTATGTTCTGAGCTGTTCTGGGGAGGGCCCTGACCCACCAGCACTGGGTTCCAAATGCCCAGGAAAGAACAGTCACACAGTAGATGCTCGATAACTACTTGTTACACTGGACTGGGTTCTGTTTACAAGAAGAGATTCTAGATTAGTCTTGAGCTTCTTGTAAGCTCTAACATTCCAGATTTCCATGTCATTATGTATTTGTCATTATGCCACTTTCAGATCTCTGAGTCTCTGTTTCTAAAGTAGTGAGCAAATTCAAGAAAATGGTAATCCCACAATAAATGTTTAAATAACTATGGGTGAGAACAGCTGTTAAAGAGTGTGCCCACTCTGTGCTGGATATTTTTTTGGAATAATTTACATTCATTAACTCATTTAATCTTCATAACGCCTATAAGACAGATGAGATTATGCTCCCCAATTCCCAAGTGAGGAAACTGAAGCCCAGAAAGGTACAGTTACTTGCTCAGTAGCACTAGCTATTCATCAGTGGAGCAATGGCTCCTCAGTCTGCTTTTGAATCATCAGCTGTCCTGTGTTCTAGGCACCACAGTAAATGCCTTTCTTCTGCATGTTCTCACTGTATCCTCACAACAGCCCCATTAAGTAGATACCACAATAACCCCATTTCAGAGAAGAGAAAACTGAGGCTTGGAGATGTGAAGTCCATTGCCCAAAGATACACATCCAGGTAGTAGAGCCCATCTTGGGCAGCTTGAAGGCAGAGCCTGTGTTCTTAAGCACTTTGATCTTGTCTATGATTTCCCAACAAAAGATTTCAAACTCATACCTGCATAGGCCAGGTTGGCAAAATAAGGAAATGACAGTGCTAAGTATGAGGCAGCAAAGCAATGGGGTCAGGAGCAAACCTGAGCACTGAAGAACCATCTAACAACAGTGGCCATCTGCCACGTGGAAATATGGGCTCACCTTCTCTTATGTTTCAATGGACGCTGGAAACTCAATATTGCATGGGTAACCATCCCAGATTAAAATTGGAGGTTATTAAAATATTCCTGGCTCTCTTAGATTCCTCACCTGTTCCTCCTTATAGAATTACATAGTTGTAGGGAACTACCCATGAATTTATTGTTTTAACATCAGTTTTCCTGTCCTCTCTGAAAGTTCTAGGGGGGACAGAAATTTTTGTTACTCCTTCCTCTTCCCCCCAAAATATTCCCAGCTCCCAGCATGGGACCTTTTGTGCCTGTGTGGCTTTCCCTGAAGTTCAGTCTCTCAATCTGTTCTCTTTGTATGTGTGTAAAACCTGGCTTTCCTGTTTCCCCTGCCCTCTCTGGTGTCTCTGACTCCATATCTCCTGTTTCTGAAAATTTCTGTGCCTTTTTTTCTCTCTCTTGGGAGACAGGCACTCATTGCCTCTCTAAGTATCTCTATTAAAATCTATAGGTTTTTTTTTTTTTTTTT